CCCGACCGCTTAATGTCGGCCCTCCAGCGGTACCACCCACGTGCCCCCCCGCCCCCCCCAAATTTTAGTTGTCCCCCGATGAAGGTTTGCAACGGACTATCGTGGATGACTACCACCACAACACGCGCGAACCCCCCTCCCCCCCTCCCCACCCCACAGAGCAAACCCCCAAAATAAGGTACCGAAGCACTAGCTTGCATGACGCGCACGTGTGGAGACTATCATGCAACGTATTGAAAGGTGTCTCAGTAACCTTTCGTCACATGGTCTGCAAGTCGCATTGTGGGAGAGTGTAACAAATTGCCAACTCTGGTTTCCGGACATCGACTCCTGACGCGAAGTGTTCCCGAACCACACTCACTCATGCTAATACGCTCGATCAAGGCTTCATGGAACGCAAGCGAGCGCGCACTTTTGAAGTCAACTATTACGAGGTGAGGAGGGTGGTCCATCCCTAGGTCCACTCGTCATCGCACGCCGTTCGCATCCACCTCCCACAACAGATATTCGTCGCCTCTATCCCCACATCAAGGAGAAAGTTATGTAGAATGCACACCACCATGAACTGTTTGGGAAGACTACCCATGTTCATCTTGTGCGTGCGGAGGAACAACCTTCACATGTCCTTGAACCTCCCGAAGGCCCTTTCCACCGCTCCCTTGACGACCTTCTATTTGTTGTCGAACCTCTCCTTGTCTGGGTACTGATTCAGACCTCCATACGACACAGTTACCCACTCCATTGGTGGATAACCGTTGTCACCAAGGATGTACCCGTGCGTCATCATCCCCAACGACATCGTCACAAGAGGGTCGCGAAAGAGGTCTTCCTCCTCCATGCGCTTACATGAACTGGACAGCTGAAGCACTCAGATGTCGTGGCAGCTCCCCAGATAACCAACCTGATGTCAACACACGCACGTTAGCAATTCGTCGATGTAGATGTGTGTGCAGTCCACACACCCGTAGTAGTCGGGGAAGCCCTTCTCTGCGAAGGCATGCAGGACTTCTGGCTTCCGCAATGCTTTTGACCAACAGATCTTGTTGGAGTGCACCCTCAAGAGCGCCGTCGTGGCGTCCTCGATGGCGATCAACCCGGAAGCGCATCCAATCCTCAACGAACACTTGCTGCTCTCGTACATTTCCTCACTTGCCCAAGGATACAATGCATACGCGACGATGTGCTCCGGTGTCAACAGCACCCTGTAAGACATGACCTTCCAATGTGGATGACGGGCACACTGCCTCAACGATCTCCCGAACCATTCTCCTCGGCATACGCAGCTTCTCCCCGTAGTACCCATCAATTGCATTGTCAACCAATCGACGATCCTCCCACGTCCCTCCCATCCTCTGTTTCATCCACCATCTTGGCGTCGCCCGCCAAAAGACACCTGCCGCCATAGCGTAGTAGAACTGTAACACGACCTCCGAAGCGGACACACAATATGAGGCATCCACCAACTGCTGCATCAGAATATTTTGCCTGCGCGTTGACAGTTTCAACTTCATATGACCCAACGCCCTCTCCTCACGACAACAAATGGCGACTATTGAAACTGCCGCCACCGCGACACTTCTCTCCTCCAGAGTCGATCCCCTGCGCGTAGCCGACCACCTGCCCTCCATTGATGAAGCCGCGGATGACATGCACGGATTTTGGTACTGCTCCAACCACAACCACGCACATCGCTGCCTGGACGTCCTTTGCAGGTGTGCTGCTGCCTGCCTCCCACAAGAGTAGCTGCCCATCCCCACCCCTTTCACCACCCCGTGCGGACGCACGCCACTAAAGAGAAGTGTGATGGCAAAAGGCTGAACAACCGCATAAAGGTTCAGCGATCACCGCCGAAAGGGTGCTGAGGTGCGACGTCCACGACCGGACCGGAAGACCCCACATGCGTCGTTGCCTCTCGTGCCTGCTTCGGAATTCAAATTTGGAATGGGAACATTGCCGCCTTTTTTTTTTGTCGAAGCCCTAAGGGGCTCGCTGCCACCACCGTTGTACCACGCCTAAGGGCGCACAAACATCCCACCACGATGACGGACGTCACGCTTGTGGTCGCATATAATCCGATGAAATTGGGAGCGTTTAGGAATCTCCCTCATGGGACCATCCCCGAGGATGAGGTGCAACCATGACCCCCAAAACACCAAAATCGCCCAAGGAATTTATCCTCGGGCCCGAGGACACCATGAGGGGTGTCTAACAAGGCCCTTAGCTAGTAATTCATTTTTTTACAACATCGATAAAAAGATAGACCATTAATTTCAAGTTACTTTCAACATCTCAATCATGGTGAGTTTTCTACATGTCAATTTTTTGGAACCAAATTTCCTATCTATACATTCCAAAATTCCGATATTCTCGATTGTTTGGTGCCTTACTTTTACATGTCCTTGCCACAGGCATAAACATTAGTGCTTTTCTCTTCGATTTGCTTACGCAAATTTCCATTACATTACCATTGTGTGATTTGCATATACACAATTCTTGTTGGGAAAAAAATATCGATTCACGTATGATCTCAAAGATCGTCAAATAGGGTTGGGCTACTTGGTGTGCAAGCTTCTAACACACAAGATTTGGTTTTTATCCTCTTTATGGGTTTCGAGTTTTACAAGTAATGCCCTGGATCTTCTCCTTCCGGGTCGAGTCTCTTGACCCTGACGATGGGAGCCCTGCACCTCGAGAGGCTAGAGACTTGCTTTACTTTGGGGTTGGGGTTGATTTTTGGGGTCCAGATCAACCCCATCGACGGCAGATAGAGACAAGGGGGGTCCAGTCAACTTTACTTTGGGGTTGGGGTTGATCTTTGGGGTCCAGATGAACCCCATCGAGGGCAGATAGAGACAAGGGGGGTCCAGTCAACTTTACTTTGGGGTTAGCACTGTTTTCAGCGGGGAGTGAAGTTGTCTTCAGGGATTGCTCAACTTGGGGGCGGGGGTAGGGTGAAGAGGATGTGCGAAGTTGCGAACTCCTGTTCCGCAGGGGGGTACTTCAGGTGGGGACTGTATGTCTCGGAGGGAGTGGCAATGACCGACTATGGGGTTCGTTGTGAAGTAGGGCCGATGAGGGCAGTGAGTCCAGTAATGGACGGCGGGCGCTCTTTTCCTCTGGGGAAGGGGTAAACTACAAGCAAAGCTTATGAAAAATCATTGTGCATAGCTTTCATTTTGAATCGAATGTGATCCATGATATGCACCAATCACCCACCCTTTCGGGTGGAGTTTTAATCTTTCCTGTTTTATTTATAGAACGTGTGATAAATTGACAAGGGGTGAGCCCCTTATCACTAGTATGTTATCATGCGCTTCCAGTTATTTTTGTTGTATGTGGAACTGAGGAGGGGCCCCTACTCTGCACAAGTGGCATCTTGGAAGGAAGTGCATGTTTCTTGAGGGGCAAAGGTGGAATTGTGGGTTACGACAGTAGCCAGGAGCTTTGCTGCCTAAGGCACACTAGCACCCCACAGTCATGTCGTCCCCCCCCAAAAATGGGCCACAGGTTGGTATGTCACCCACAGCATAACCCCTCCAAAAACACTCACAAGGGTCCCAAGCCCCMGACCSCCCCCCCCCCCCCCCCTCACACTCACAGTTGGCAAAATGACCAACACAGGTGTTTCACACAGTAGAAATGAAATATCAACAAACGGGAAAAAGAAGAAAAACAAAGTGACGCGTTAGAGATCCGAAACCTGTGCTTGTGTGCATTTGTGAGTGTGTGATGGTGTGCGGCGTGCGGATATATTCCCAGAGCAGAGTGCTCCACACTGCTAACGTCTTCACCCGAATAGAACGCCGAGAGCAGGTTAACGGAGGCCCAAGATTTCAGACAACTTTTTCATGCCATTTATAACAACCCCCCCCAAAGGGCCAAAGGTCATTTTATGATTTTAACCAAACTTGCCGCCAATTCAAATTCATAGAGCGGAGATCATACTAACTACTGACCCAAAAAAAAAAAAAAAAAAAAAAACAGCAGCAAGGCAGAAGTGCACTTTCATGAAATTTTGCCAACATTCTAATTTCAGAAATCTTGAGAAACTTCAGAAATCTCAGCAAGGAAATTCCAAGCAAGAAAGCAGAGGGCTTGCAGGCAAGCGGGCAAAAAGGCACTAGGTGGGCAAGTGGGCAAGAAGGCACTAGGCAGGCGAGCGGGCAAAAAGGCACTACCGTTTTCACCCGAACAGAACGCCCGGTCATTATAGCCTTATCTAGACTGAAAATTGCACCAAATACGGCTATAATGACCGGGGCGTTCTATTTGGGTGAAGACGGTAGGTAGGCAAGCGGGCAAAAAGGCACTACGTAGGCAGGCGGCACAGCAAGACAAAGCGCACGGGTAGGAGGCCAGGCAGAAGGGCTGCACCGACAAGGCAGTTCACACATACGACACAAGCCACAGCCGATGATCACCGGCTCACACCACAACTAGGATACAGACTAGGTTCAGGCCGTCATCAAGAGCTGGGGAGACACAACAAGAATGTCTGCCAACACCAGGAAACAAGAGACACATGCATCAAACAGAGCCGTCCACCTAATAGTGCTGCAGGCACTTCTCACAAAACGACACTGACTATTTGGCACATCTTGAAGGTGCTGGGCACAGGCACTTGGGAAAATACAGGAAAAGGCCAGAGCGCAGAGTGGACAAGACAGAAAATACTTAGAACAATAGGAAGAAAGACAGTTACCGATATACTATACTTGTGTGTGCATGTGCAGATACATATACGCACGCAGACGTCATGGCCGGACATCGGAATTCAGATGATAGACATCACTACCTTCTTCACCCGAATGCAATGGACATTCATTATAGCTGTATTTGGGGTATCTTTCCAGCTGCATGCATCAATAATGACATCATACTAAGCGTACTCTGTATTCGGGTGCTATACTTGTGTGTGCATGTGCAGATACATATACGCACGCAGACATCATGGCCGGACATCGGAATTCAGATGATAGACATCACTACCTTCTTCACCCGAATGCAATGGACATTCATTATCGCTGTATTTGGGGTATCTTTCCAGCTGCATGCATCAATAATGACACCATACTAAGCGTACTCTGTATTCGGGTGTAGAAGCAAGCATTACCCACACAAATATAGTAGGAGGACCAATTAGTGACGTATGCGATACAGAAGTGTTTTTTAAGTTTTTTAACTTTTTTGATACTTTTATGAACTCCAGAAACACAATGACGAGTTAGCACTGCAGCGTAAAATTGGTATCTGTACTCCACATAAACGAAGGTCGAACATTATGACATGTTGATAGAAGAAATAATAATGAAATATGTCGTTTGTTCCATAGCACGTACAGCGTCAAAATGTGACATGCAGATGAAGAGGATATCTAATATTTTTGACAGCATTACAGGTGCTGACAGGAGAGGGCTTCCATTCTTTTGAGTCTTATTTTACAACTTTTCATTTTCCTTTTGCAATATACGCACTGGTTAATTTCATTTTCGATGATGAAAATGGAAAGAGGAAGAACAAAGCGTATTTACGTTTGTTTATTTTTCGATATTCAAATACATTGGTACGCAGATGCATTGTTTTGTATCTATCTTTATCTTTTCCTCTCTCTCTCTCTCTCTCTCTCTCTCTCTCTCTCTCTCTCTCTCTCTGTTCCCTGCCTTCCTCT